TAGAACCCTTATTTTCTACTCTCAACAAGGACTGCCAGCAACAGTTTCCCTGCACAACACGTTAACACATAGAATTTCACAACCATATATACCAGTTTAATATTATGTTAATATAACATACAATATACGGGCAACTAAGGAAAAATACATTTCTTTAAAATAAAGCTCCATACCAGCAAGGTATGGATTTTATAGCCAAACTGTGCCACCTCTTGAACTCCATATTCTGGCCCAATCTTACACACTCACTGATTTATACGGCAATTCTGAACAGGTCACACCTACTGCAGCAGAGAGTCAATGACAGCTCCTGGCTTTGCCGAACGTTTTCTGTTTGGAGAGCAGAAAGGAAAGGGAAAAATAGCACCATACACACATCATGAGGCTGTCTAGGAAAGACAGGGACCAGCCACATCTCAAGTTAAAACTACACAACGTTACTCTTCCAAGTATTTGTCAAAACCAAAAATAACCAAGGAAACCCATGCTGAAATCTCCCCCAACAGCACGTAACTTTCCAGTAACATCAGTCGATGAGTCAGGTGTCGAACTGAACCACAGACCACAGTAAAATAAAGCAAGGAGCCAGAAGAGGGGAATACAGCAAAAGGGCATCAGAAAAACACCCAGACAAGTCTTTCTGGACAAGATCCTGCTGTGGTAAAGAGACTTCAGCTTGGTTCTGTCATACTCAGCACAGATAAACTTTATACCGCGCAAAAAGTTAGCATTGTGTCTTCTCACTAAGCAACCGTTTGAAGATCTATGGTCAGTTTGCATGCACAGACTTAAGCCTTCCCCTGGGTAAATCCCCCATATAGATACTCCAAAGTTCTTCACCTTCTACCCGTCTTGGGCCTGGATCTTCCTTTTGAAGTCCTTGGCCTCTCCAGCTTCATCAGCGATTGCCTCAAGCTTTCTTCAGTGTAGGCTAAGTAAACATGGGAAAGGTCCACTTCAAAGGGCTAAAAAGGCAAAACACCCACAAAACAGGAACATCAGAATCATTTTATGCCCTGATCCACAGCGCTTTTCTAACACTAGGAAGACTGCTCTCTTCCAAAGAGAAGAAATTGGGCAGTTTCTCTATTAATACACAGGCACAGGTAGCAGAATTTGGCCACACACAGTTTAACACATGCTTAGAAAGAGTCACTCACATCTTTTTCTTTCTTATCCAGGACAGGAGTCTGTTTCCTCATGTTGTTCCCTGTATATGCAACACATTTCTTAAAGAAAGAAAGAAGGTCTGTTAGCAGAGCCTGCTGTGCACAGTAAAAGTGACTACAGCTTTAGCAGTTTACTTCTGGGCTCAATTTAACTCCTTAGAAACTCCTGCTAACACTGGCTTCTACAGCCAGCAAACTTACCAGCTGCCATTCTCCAATGTCTTCATTCCAGTGAACATAGTTTTCAATCATTTCCTAGGAAGAAATAGAACAGTAATTGTTCTAGACTTCAGATGCATTCTCCAGAACATACATCCCTAAAGGCCTGGACAAGCTGCTTAACAACAGTTTTGATCATTGGAAGTTGCCTTTAATCAAGACAAACATATCCTGTTCAAACACACCTATTTATACTTTAAAGCCTACAGAAGAGAAAAACACCACTCCCAAATTGGAATTCCCACAAAAGCATGGGCTTCCCATTAAGCCAGTGCCATCAGGATAGTAATAAACTTCACTTGGAAGCCCACCAGGTTACAAGAGTCACTTGTCAGCAGCATCTTTTCTTACTTCAGCATCACCTGGTTCTAACAACCCAGATAATGACACCAACACATGAATGCCACCAAGTTGCTTAGCTGAGCCACAGCAAAGGAAAGCTCACAGCAGCATACACCAAGTCATCTGTGCCACAACCTAACAGACAAGTGTCCATCAGTGCACTGTGAACACCTCATGAAGAGACAAGAACCAACTCATTCCATTCAGTGGACAGAATAAAAGCTGGAGGGCTTGGCATGCACAGCACAATCTTATGCCACAGGCTTTGGTTCTCTGCCTTTACCTGGTAGTCCTGAGGAATGAAGTTGTCTATGATAAGCATCTGAAGACGAAGTTCCCTGCTCAGCTGCCGAATATTCTCTAGTAATCCTTCAATCTCTCTCTGATGCTCTTGCTGGAGATCTGCCATCTGAAAATAAACCAGATGAGAGCATTTGAGAGGATCAGAGCTAGCTTAAGACATGGTAAAAGCCTAAAAGAGAAGAGTCTTTGGCCTATATGAAGATTTCAGGAAACAAAAGCAAACTCTGGTTATAAGTATAGAATATTTTATCTCTGAAGAATAAACCCTCTGGAAAGTTCCAGTTCAGAGATGGCTGAGAGCAACTTTAAGTTCTCAGCTTCATAAAACTGAAGCTGACTTTCTGCCAACCCAAGCTCTGCACCAGCTAAGAGCAGATGAAGAGTGTGAGCCAAGTTATATCCCTGGCAAGATTTCAAGGAAAACCTCTGATCCCTAAGACAAAATGCAATTTTGTGAAACAGGAGCTCAAGATACCAGCCAAAGGACACTTTCGTCCAGTGACTGAGCAAGAGGTACCAAGGGCAACAGGGAGAACAGACAGACAGCTAAGAGCAGAGGAGCACTGGGCTGCTGCAAAGCAGGAGATTTGGAAAGCTGTTGGCTGGCAGCTCAAACAAAACACCCGGTGTGTGTATCCGTCTCACACATTGTGTGTATCCAAGCTCTCACACATTGTTGTTACAAAGCTGATGGCTTACAGCCTCAGTGAACCCAGGCTGAGAGCCTCAGACACTAACCTCTGATTTTGCAGCCATAAGCATGGTCCAACATGCCCCTGTGAAGTCTTCTTGCTGTGTGCACCACAGACATTCATTAACATAACCAAAGAATATCTGCAATGCTATGTTTGAACAAAGGAAAGCATTTGCCAAGGGCCTGGAGCCCTGGCTATGCCCCACAGTGATTGCAGTGGCATTGTGTGGCCTCTGGAGCCATTCACTTCTGCTACATTTTTCAGAGCAGAGCCATGTTTCATGCACAGAGCAATGCTAAGGCACAACACTGCAGACAGCAGTGGCAGGACGCAGTGAAAGGAAAAAATGTAGCAGATGAATGTGAGGCCACACAATGGATACACACAGGCCCTTGGCAAAAGAATAACACCGGTTATGTTAATGTATTTGTGTTGAGCTGCCAGCCAACACAAAGAAAGTCTGGACCATGCTTATGGCTGCAAGAATTCTGTCTGAGGCTCTAGTCCAAGTGAGGGACTACACAGCTGGGAGGGGGTAAGCCATCAGCTGTAACACAAATCTGAAGTCTGGTGTGCTTACAGGGGCATGTTGGAGAGCGTTCCCCAAGTGAAAAGGAACAATGTGTGAGACGGTGAAGGAAAAACACCAAATCTGCCCTGTTGAGGCAGCCCAGTGCTCCTCTTCCTCTTAGCTGTCTCTTGCTCAGCTCACTGGACGAAAGTGTCCCTTTGGCTGGTATCTTGAGCTCCTGTTTCACAAAATTGCCTTTTGTCTTAGGAATCAGAGTTTTCCTTGAAATCTTGCCAGGGATATAACTTGGCTCACACCTCTTCATCTGCTCTTAGCTGGTGCAGAGCTTTGGGTTGGCAAGAGTTCAGCTTCAGTTTTATGAAGCTGAGAACTTAAAGTTGCTCTCAGCCATCTCTGAACTGGAACTTTCCAGAGGGTTTATTCTTCAGAGATAAAATATTCTATACTTATAACCAAGTTTGCTTTTGTTCCTGAAATTTTAGTATGGCTGAAGACTCTTCTCTTTTAGGCTTTTACATGTCTTAAGCTAGCTCTGATCCTCTCAAATGCTCTCATCTGGTTATTTTCAGATGGCAGATCTCCACAAGAGCATAGAGAGAGAGATTGAAGGATTACTCAAGATATTTCGGCAGCTGAGCAGGGAACTTCGTATTCAGATGTTATCATAGACAACTTTCATTCCTCCAGGACTCTCAGGTAAAGGCAGAGAAGCCAAAGCCTGTGGGCGTAAGATTGTGTGTGCATGCCAAGCCCTCAGGCTTTTTATGTACTGTCGCTGAATGAATGAGTTGGTTCTGTCTCTTCATGAGGTGTTCACAGTGCACTGATGGACACTTGTCTGTTAGGTTGTGGCACAGATGACTTTGGTGTATGCTGCTGTGAGCTTTCCTTTGCTGTGGCTCAGCTAACAACTTTGGTGGCATTCATGTGTTGGTGTGCATTATCTGGGTTGTTAGAACCAGGTAGATGCTGAAGTAAAGATGCCTGCTGAGCGATTGAGCTACCTGAACCTGGTGGGCTTCCAGGAATTGGCTAGTTTATTACTATCCTGATGGCACTGGCTTAATGGGAAGCCCATGCTTTTGTGGGAATTCCGATTTGGGAGTGGTGTTTTTCTCTTCTGTAGGCTTTAAACATTGAAATAGGTGTGTTTGAACAGGATATGTTTGTCTTGATTAAAGGCAAACTTCCAATGATCAAAACTGTTGTTGGCTTGTCCAGGCCTTTAGGGATGTATGTTCTGGAGAATGCATCTGAAGTCTAGAACAATTACTGTTCTAATTTCTTCCCTAGGAAATGATTAAAAACTATGTTAGTTGGAAGTGAAAGCATTGGAGAATGGCAGCTGGGTAAGTTTGCTGGCTGTAGAAGCCAGTGTTAGCAGGATTTTCTAAGGAGTTAAATTAAAGTTCCAGAAGTGAACTCCTAAAGCTGTAGTCACTTTTACTGTGCACAGCAGGCTCTGCTAACGAGACCTTCTTTCTTTCTTTAGAGATGTGTTGCATATACAGGGAACAACATGAGGAAACAGACTCCTGTCCTGGATAAGAAAGAAAAAGATGTGAGTGAGACTCTTTCTAAGCATGTGTTAAACTGTGTGTGCCAAATTTGTCCTACTCTTGTGTGTGTATTCATAAAAAACTGCCATTCTTATTCTTTTGGAAGAGAGCAGTCTTCCTAGTGTTAGAAAAGCGCTGTGGATCAGGGCATAAAATGATTCTGATGTTCCTGTTTTGTGGGTGTTTTGCCTTTTAGCCCTTTGAAGTGGACCTTTCCCATGTTTACTTTAGCCTACACTGAAGAAAGCTAAGAGCAAATGACTAGATGAAGCTGGAGAGGCCAAGGACTTCAAAAGGAAGAATCCAGGCCCAAGCGGGTCAAGGTGAAGAACTTTGGAGTATCTATATGGGGGACAGTCTCTGCATGCAAACTGACATAGATCTTCAAACGGTTTGCTGAGTGAGAAGACACAATGCTAACTTTTTGCGCGATATAAAGTTTATCTGTGCTGAGTATGACAGAACCAAGCTGAAGTCTCTTTACCACAGCAGGATTGCACCTCCAGAAAGACTTGTCTGAGGCCTTTTTGTGCCCACTGCTGTCTCCTCTTCTGGCTCCTTGCTTTATTTTACTGTGGTCTGTGGTTCAGTTCGACACCTGACTCATCGACTGATGTTACTGGAAAGTTGGATGCTTGGGGGAGATTTTGGCATAGGGTTTTCCTTGGTTATTTTTGGTTTTGACAAATACTTGAAGGTAACGTTGTGTAGTTTTAACTTGAGATGTGGCTGGTCCCTGTCTTTATTAGCCTCATGATGTGTGTATGGTGCTATTTTTCCCTTTTCCCTTTCTGCTCTCCAAACAGAAAAGTAACCAACAAAGCCAGGAGCTGTCATTGACTCTCTGCTGCAGTAGGTGTGACCTGCTTCAGAATTCCCGTAAATCAGTGAGTGTGTAAGATTGGGCCAGAATATGGAGTTCAAGAGGTGGCACAGTTTGGCTATAAAATCCATACCTTGCTGGTATGGAGCTTTATTTTAAAGAAATGTATTTTTCCTTTAGTTGCCGTATATTGTATGTTATATCTAACATAACATTAAACTGGTATATATGATGGTTGTGAAATTCTATGTGTTAACGTGTTGTGCAGGGAAAGTCTTGCTGGCAGTCCTTGTAGATGTAGAAAATAAGGGTTCTAGATGCCATCTTAAGTGCTGTGATGTGTTAGCTCAAAACAGTTGATGAAATCCTACAGTTAGAGAGGCAGGTAAATCTGATATGCCCTGCTTTGCACAGTGACTGGCAGCTTTCACTCTTGTGACTCTGTTGCACTGATCTGTGTTTGAATGTGGTTGCTGCAAACCTTGGGCATCAAACCCTTTTATTTAAATGCCCCTCACTGTGGCTATTAACCTGATTGTGTTGTGTATGGAATACACAGTCCTTTTCCCTTCCTTGCTGTCTTGCTGTACAAAAAGTAGTTGCATAGGGGAAACATGCACAGTACAAAATTCTGAGGCTTCTGGGAAGGGACCATTCTCTGTTTAAGTGCAACAGGAAAACAACGTCTCTAAGTACTGCTTTTATCTTTCTCTGTATGCCCTGTGCGCTGTGGGGAATGGGGGCTCTGATGCAAAGGCAAAGAGAGCTCTCTTGGTTTACTCTCCTGTTAAGGCTGTGTGGCAGCGTTGCTTTGGCTTGCTTTTTGTGTCTAATATGGAATTTTTTACATGTATGTGAATTGTTTTGGAATTGCAGCAGCAGATATCTAAGGGGAATGCTGTGACACTGAGGCTTTCACTTCAGCCATGGGACTAGAGCATGATCACTAATTCTCCCATCCCTGGCTCCAAGGGCACTGGCAGTGCTCTGCACTGAGGGTGAATTTGACTCTCCTGTATTAAAACGGACAGTATTCCCAGACAGCATATGCATCCCTTGAAGTAGCTGGTGTTGTTTTGTGTTTCCTGTGTCATCTCTAGGTTCCTGGCTATGCTCTGATGAGAGGAAGCAAATCCTGGTCTCTGATAACAACCATTTCTTTGTGGTGGCTGCTCTCTTTTCTTTGATATTTATGCTGCTAACAGCACGTATACTTTAATACATTGCTTTTGTGTCTCACAGAGGCATTCTGAGCTGCAGGCACTGGAACAGCTCCTGTGCCAGGTGTGGGGGTGGTCAGCTGTGATTTCTTGTGATCTTCATGTTACCTCAAGATGTGCAAGCTGTGATCACTAATAAGAGAAATAGAGTCCTCAAGCATGACAGAAAGCACAAGACAGCTCCTTAGGTGTCCTGAGTTCTTACATAGCCACGTTTGCAATTACCAGAGTGTTCTTGTGAAGTACTTCAGTAGCTAAAAGTCGATAGCCTTTTCTTGTGGTAGTGTCTGCTTAACTGGATGTACCTTGTGGCTCTGGCAGGTCTGTAACAGGATATGTACTAGTTAAAACTGGTCCTTTTAAGGGCACGTTTTGCTC